CACGCCGAAAGCAGTGGAAATGCACAGCGATGGTAATTCAGGACCCTTCTCAAAGGAATGTTCGTTGGGATCGTTATGAAAGTTGCCAAACGAGATGGCGCGTACTTTTAAGTTGTCTTCTAGACTAAAGATGGAAGGCTCCCATCGTACGTAGTAGCAACACTATTTTGCCAGAGACAGCATGGAAGCACTCAATCAGATTTACCTACGCAAAGCCTACAGGCGCAATAAGAGCTGTGCCACCCACGTGTACCAACCAATTACGCAGTGTTTCAGGCAAAAACTGAACTAAGAACTGGTGCACAGTACCGCTCACCAAACAACATTCGACGTTCCGATCGCATTCTATGCACTGGCGTAGCTACTGGGTATGCATTAGGTTACATGTAACATACTGAGTACGACTGCCATAGAAATTATACATTTAAAGGAGCAATAAAACTTCTTTAAAACTAACACAATTTTAGCTTTTTGAAATTTCACTGGGTGACATTGTATATGCTCAATTACGTCCAGATGAGACGGATAAGAGAAGCGCGTTGCCCGAAAGCAAGTTTACCCGAATTGCTGAGCGCAGATCTTGCGCTGCAGTTCCGCGGCAAGGCCGCACGCGACCGCGGAACGTCCTACGACAGTATGGCAGCGCTTGGCAGCTATGGGATCGGCGCTCGAATGGCTTATCCGCGCACGCATCCATAGCTGACCAGCGAACAGCTCTACAAATTTTAGTGAGGGTACACAGAGGGCAAGAGATTTGGGACGTGAGAAACAGTGTTTCACTTTTGTTATAAAAACTAATGTCTCTGCGTTCGTAAACCTAGCTGTGTCCACGCGAAATCACAGAAGAACTGCCGAAATTTTCGCGTTCGCGAACCTTGCCAGTAATGGAAATGGCTGCAAGACAAAGGCCTATTAGACTGGGACTCACTCCCACCCGATTACCCATCGATGTGACTTAAGCTAAAGCCGAGAGTGGAAGCGACGTGCCAGTCATGCTATAGGCGGCGCGCAGGCGGCGCACTGCTTTCGCAACTCGCGTGACGAGCCTCTCGCCATTTGGAACGTTGCAAAAACGTTGCATGGTGTTGCGGCTGACAGCCATTTCCATTACTGGGCGAAGGTTCGCGACGCCAGAATTTTCGTCAGTCTGTGGTGATTTCGCATGAACACAAGCAGCCGGTTACGAACAGAGACATTATTTTTTAATATACAAGTGAATACGTGTTCGAAGCAGGAAAAAAGATTGGAAGGCTGTTGAATGTGTATTCGTGCTGTGAAAGTTCAAAATGAAGTTGAGCGTCGAGCGAATTTGGTCAGCACAGCTTTCCTAGCCTGCTATATTATTATTAGTGTAAGGCGTGGCAACAGTCGCGGCGACGCGAGATGCAATGGCAAGCGCGGCGAGCGTACGTTGAGCGTAGGATTTCGACGAATTCACAGAAACATTGCAATATAGGTCAAAGAGAGTAGCCTTATGCTATAGAAAGCACTGAAGAAGTTGGTAGTAAATAGATTTCGTATTTAGTTAGGCATTATATTTTATTAATATTAGTAGGAGTACTAAGTAAATCACTAATCAGGAGTCGTCACATTATTAATATTAGTAACTTACTAGTAGCCGGTAACACAGTTTGTCATATTACTCCTGGTAGTAATCAGTACTAGTTACTAGTATACTGTAGTTACTAGTAGTCCTGGTAACTTAGTAGTACTAGTACATAGACTTACTACTACTAGTAACTATTGTATACATAGTACTTTAGTGTGTAAAGTAATAGACAGTATTCGTCAGGTTGTGGATACAAGTTCGATCTCGCATTGGGGATCGTGTTGTATCATAATATATATAGCCTAGGGCCTGTAGAATCACGAGTACGAGGCACATTGGTTTTTATGGGACTCATGTTCTCCTATCCTTGGGCCCGTCCTAGCGAGCAACTCCGGAATTGCACGTCGAATTCTTACGGAACACTTACAGTTCAAGCTTCCGCACTGTTCACAGTAGGCACTTCTGCCACATGTTTGAAAATCTTAGTTTGATGAGGAGTGTAACTATGCAGAGATACAAAGCAGATAAAGTGACTGAAACTAACTGTAATTATTACGAATAGCGAAGACGAATTCCTATATATCGTATCCCCTAAACTCAGCCACCAACGCAACGCATGAGCGCTGATATATTGTACAATGTCAACAAAAAACTTCCGTTATTCACAGAAAAGAAAGCGCGCCTAGTAGGCCTACGAAATTTGCAGCATTATTAGCTCCGTCTCTACATAACTGGGAGGAATCCCTCGTGCAATGGGCAGTTAACGCTCAATTCAGGCGAAAAGCCGGCTTCAAAGCTAACCCTAAAGAAGGAACGCGGAATACTTGCGCTTGGGATAAAAGGCAGCGATGTTTGTAGTAAGTGTCGCCACGTAGGTGGCGTTTGAGCGCTTCGCGCGGATATCGCCTGCACGATCGTCCAGGCAGGTATCAGATTCCTAACTAGCAAACCCCGGCAGTCAAATTCTTTTAACAGACAGAGTGGTCACAAATCCATGTTAACCTCCTCTTCGAGGGTCAAAAGGGTTATCTACACTTACTCCTTCGCATGTCAGCAGAAAGTAGATTTTCCCATGGTCCTTTCAATAAGTGGCCTAAAAATCTAGGTCACCGCTGAAACAAAAGTTTTTTCAATCGCTTCCCGTCAACGCATGTCCTGCAGAAAATGTCTAAAATCTGCCCCGTGCCCATGTGGACGCTGTGACCATCCAATTCGGCACAGTGATTGCTTTTCCTACCCATGAATGCATAGACGGCAAACTATCACGACCTAGGTCGAGGCCGTTAGATTGTGGCCGCAATTCTGCATTTCCCCTATACCTTTAAGTTAAGGATGAATGTTCCCCCCTTCCTTTTACACACTCTTGACCTTTGACCTTTGACCCGCAGCCTTCGACATCCCAACTCGTTTTGACGATTCCGCCCCCAATGTGCCGAATCTTCGTGACGACTCACGTTCAGATTTTGTGCCCAACTGTTGAAGACGGACGGACGGACGACGGCCGGACGGACGGACTAATCATGGCGATTCTACAAGCCGGCATCTGACCTATGTCAGATGAGCTAAAAGAGAGGAGGAGAGAGAGAGGGAGAGAGAGAGAGAGAGAGAGAGAGAGAGAGAGAGGAGAGGGAGAGAGGAGAAGAGAGAGCAGAGAGAGAGAGAGAGAGAGAGAGAGAAACACACACACAAACGGCACACGCACTGAGAGAGAGAGAGAGAGAGAGAGAGATGGGAGAGGGAGAGGGAGAGGGAGAGGGAGAGGGAGAGAGGACGAGGGAGACGGGGAGAGAGAGACATACATGCACAAGCACACGCACACGCACACGCACACGCACACGCACACGCACAAGCACACGCACACGCACACGCACACGCACACGCACACGCACACACACACACACACACTGACTCTCTGCCATAGCGTTAGTTCTAGAGCTATCTCTGTCACAGCGCTGTTGCTTATGTATATGATAAAACGTAACCTAGCAACTGTAACACATGTTTGTAGTTATCTGCCAGCTGACTGACTGCTTTCCTCCGCTATTTAGCGGAGGCATAGCGGAGCGTTTATGAAACAGGAGTAGTCCGTTCGCTAAGTTCTCCGTTCGCTAAAAAGCAAACGAACAACTTAGCGGAGAACTTTAGCGGACGTTAGTGAAACGCGCCCCAGGTTACGTGGTCTTTTTAGCCGACTTTCATTGCATAAACGCATTACTGGAAATTTGACACAGTCAACTGAGTCATGACCACAGCACAGCCAGGCACTTGGAACGTATCAATTAAAAATATAATGCTAAATAAATACGAAATATATTTACTACCAATCTCAATGTTTCTCTACTCTCTTTCACGTATTAGTATTATTGCCGACAATTCCCTGTAAATGCCGTCCAAATGCTCATCTGCAACACACTGTCACACGCTGGCCGCCGCACGCTAGCTGCTGCACACTGCCACATAAATATATAGTTATAATATAGGCAGTGGCTACGGGTACGGCAGCCGTATCTTAATGTCTCGAGGCTACGAGTACGGCAGTCCATTTGCTTTCATACGTAACAAGACAAAGATGGCGGCAGTAGCGCCAGATTTCGAAATAATGCCTTGGGGAAATAAGTTCACGATTTGAGAGTTTAGATGAGCTAGAACCCTACCCCTAAGTTAACCCTAACCCTAACACCAAAAAGGAGCTTCAACAAACGACGGCTGCCGTACCTCCAGCCACTGCGTATAAGATATCGCTATATATTTATGTGTCAGTGTGCAGCAGCTAGCGTGCAGTGTACTTGTGTGTTGCAGATGAGCATTTGACCGGCATTGACAGGTGATTATAGGCGAAATAGAGTAGAGAAACATTAAGACTTTGGTAGGAAATACATTTCGAGTTTATTTACCATTATTTTTTTTTTATTGAGACGTTCCAAGTGCCTGTGTACTTGTGTGTTGCAGATGAGCATTTGACCGGCATTTACTGGTAATTATCGGCAATAATAGGCGAAATAGAGTAGAGAAACATTATGCCTTTGGTAGTAAATACAATTCGTGTTTACATTTTTATTTTTTATTGAGACGTTCCAAGTGCCTGTGTACTTGTGTGTTGCAGATGAGCATTTGACCGGCATTTACTGGTAATTATCGGCAATAATAGGCGAAATAGAGTAGAGAAACATTATGCCTTTGGTAGTAAATACAATTCGTGTTTACATTATTTTTTATTATTGAGACGTTCCAAGTGCCTGTGCCTGTGGCTTAGCTCTAGTATAGTAGTAAGTTAGTAACTATAGCCCGCGTACAGTTGGCAGCTACCTGTGGCTGTGCTGTGGTCAACAGAGGTAAACAGAGCTTGCACAAACAAAGTCAAACATATGATTATTAGGATTTCAAATGTTATATCATAACTATTAAAGATCGTATACCTTCTTTCCTCAATGTGTTTGGCACCTTTGTATAAATATTAAATGATTATAATAAATAATTGGATAAATATGAGATAAGGCACACACTCGCTATGAGCGGTTGTTGAATCACCGACTGTTTTCAGTTTGCCCAATCTTGAGATTGGTCAGCCAAACTAGTATGGGAATCCGCAGTTTGGGCAGCACAATCGCTCACTGATCTCTATAATATAATCGATTATATTATAGAGATCAGTGCAATAGCTGCACAATCTCGAGTTTGGGTACGACAACATTACACACAAGGAATATAGGGCCTACGGCTACTGTACGATTACCGTATACATATATATACGTACGATTAGGCTGAGTCCGCTGCACGTTGTACTAGAAGGAAGGGCGACTCAAATACTTGTCTCACTCGGTGCCACGCACTGTCCCGTTTCTTCCTGAGTTCCTCTTCCAGTGGCAGTGAGTTAGTGAGTGAGTTACAGCAGCAACATCCAATATACTAGCCAGACATACAAGTAACAACTCAACTATCACTCAGCTCTCTGAGTACGACCATCCGTTTACGCTATAAATCACGAGCGATGGCGCGTGATGTTATGTGATTATAACGTCTTACCGTTTACATAATACATAGACCTATAATAAACGGTGACAAACACGAAACCGCTAGCGGTGATAACCTGCCTCTAGTAGTACTAGCCTAGTAGTAGTAGGGTCTACATCGGGACAGCGGTATACTGGAATGAGGTACGATAATGAGACTCGATGTAGCGTGCCGTCTCCATGGTTTCAAAATATTACTCATTTGCTGAGTGCTGGTTGCGTCATAGCCAGTAGGCGTGGCCTAATAATAATAGTTTACGGTGTCGGCGAGTGGGTTTTAGACTGGTGCTCGCTCCCACTTCTCCGGTTTAGTTACTCGCTTGGAGGTACCCAGCGAGTAACTACGCCGAGAGGTGGGAGCGAGCTCCACTCTAAGTGGGTCGATGATATGATATCATTCCATCTTATTATTTTTAGCGTTTTTTTTTATATACAAATGGCAATATGGAGATATTGCGATAAAAGCTCACGTATCATTGGGATTTCCCGAGAAGTTTCACGTAATACATGAGTTTCGGCAAACATGTCAAATGAATAAATTTACCGCGTAAATTGACTTGCAGAAATTGCATAAGCAGTTATACCAGTGTCAGTACGTATATGTACTACGTCAAGTCTTACGATTTTAAAATTAATACATGCATGTACACGTCAGTGCCGTCACGTGCACGAACCGTGGAAAGGAGAAATATAAAATTGGGAATGGGCGTGAAAACGCATACGCGTCCGGTTGTGCTCACGGTTGTTCGTTCATTATACAGGATCACACGCGAACCCATATTGCAACCCCATATCAAACAACGATCGATGCGCTGTATCCTAGCGCTGTATAGCAGCGAAACAAACGCGGCACGCGCGCTGGCGGCACATAGACGCTCACGCTAACGAATCATTACTTTTATTTTATGGTACGCGTGTGGATTTAGTAATGTGTAAATATTTAAGTTTTAAAATCATAGTAAACATATTTGCTTTCATTGTTAAATTAACGCAACTCTCAGGCAGCGTGTCGCTGTGATTTTCATGACGCAAAAAAACGTATGCCTATATAATAGCTAAGCTTTTATGTTACGTACGTAAGTTGTGTTTTTGTGTGTGACAGACAGCTAGGTGTTGTAGACACCTGTCTATATATATATATATATATGCCTGCCCGTAATACTTTATACGCGCATGCCTGCGCACATACATGCCTATAATAGCCCGCATACACTTGCGCAAGCGTGCACAAATGTATCGCACACACGCGTGCGCTATAACATTTTCTTTATTTTGCATGTAGTGTTTATAAATATGATTTCTGTTATTTGAAAATCCCGACCGCACGCGCGTATGAGGGAGTGGTAGGACAACTGACGTTGTTTCAACGTTAAATATTTGTTTAAATTACGTCCTGTACGTCATTCGGTTCTAAAAATTCAAGATCGAACTTACGACATCGATTCAATTAGCTTCAATATTAGCCGAGAAATTTATGATATATATATATGATCTTATGAGAAATATTAGCTCTCTGTCTCTCTCCCGCCTTTTGGCTGATTTTGTTTTAAAGTTGAATACTGGTTGAAATTATATTTACCTGGATATTTACCTGGATATTTACTCTGTCCCAACGGCAAGTGGCTAGGGGTTAGGAAGCTATAAAGCTTAGAAAATTAGCTTAAAAAAACTTAAATATTGCGACATACACTAAAAATGCAGTCTCCGCTTAACGTCGAAATGCATAGCGTCGATTCAAAGTTAAATATTAGTTGAAAATATATTGCGTTATTCGTAATTAACCAATGATACACCGAAATCTAGCTACAACACCAATTCAATGATTCCCATATTGACTTAATTTGCAAATCCGATATACTTTTTTCAGTTCAATTTAATGCCAGCTGTTGCTTAAGTTGTTTCAATTACATGCTGCCCGCTGGGTAGAAGCAACAATTCCATTGAAATGTATAAATATGCATTCTCAGTAGAAGCCACATGCGAGCTCCCAGCTGAAACAGCATCAGAACACATTACTCTCTATAAGTATAACGCCCCATGACGTACATATTAGCATCGCAAATCATCTGGTTACATCGAAGTAGTGGGTAATAGGTGTAATATAGATTAGCTACGGTGTGGAAGTATTTCATACAACAACGCGATGCTATTTCTGTTTTGTAATGATTTTTCCATTTATCAAAAGATTTCCAGTGTAACAAAACTACGGTACCTAAATTGCAAACAGCAGAAAGATGCGATATGATATGACTACTAGTCACTTTAATTTAATTTAATTTAATTTTATTTTAGGGTTAGGGTTAGGGTTAGGGTTTTTTTTTTAAAGTGCCTAGTAGTCATATCCTAAGTGCCTAGTAGTCATATCATATCGCATCTAACTGCCGGGTGCACCTAAATTTGCCTAACTTGACATTGTACTGCCATCTATCGGGAGATAGAACGTGAAAGTGAGCAGAGTGATCATTACGTGGCGCTCTACCATTGGCGTCGTATGTGCAGTCTAGAAATGTAATAACAAACGTTATGAGCGTATGTTACCAACAATATGGCTAGTATATATTTATTCTCTTAGGAGAAGTTGACATTACTTAGGCACTATTCTCTACCTAAGTACCTTGAGGCTTGAGTAAAACGCCGGCACGTATTTAGTTCACCCACCCTGTCTTCAGGCGGCGCCACCATTTACTTTGACAACGGCACATTTTGGGGCAGCGACGCGAAGGAGCGAGTCGTGTTTGGAGACAGTTTCACTGTATTTGCGCATTGTGGTTGTACATTCACATCTAGACAGACCACCAGTGTTATATTCCGAGTGACAACGAACCACAGACTTGTAGAATGTCTGTCTGTGCAAAGCTTGCGTTCTTATGCTTTAGTTGTATTTTGTTTAACGCGATTTTAACCAATTCAGAAAAGAGCTGGAAAGATAAAGATGTTCGCGATTACTCGGACGCCGATGTGGAACGTTTGTTAGAGCAGTGGGAGGTAGGAGTTCAGTGGTTTTATTGGGACCCATGTTCTCTATCCTTGAACCGGAGTTCACAGTAATTGGCACTGATTCTTGATAATACCTTGGTCTTTCACTTCATATATGTTAATAATCTTGGTCGTTTCCCAAGAATTAATCTTTGATTCGCTTTTACTGGCATCAATCAAGAATCTTTGATGCATGTGCTTTATTTGGTAGTAATATCTCATAATCAAGGCCAGCTCTACTCATGATGTAGCCCTTCGCTCCGCCACATGAGCACCACTAATTGAAAGCTTCCTCAGTGGAAGATGTGATCAGGGAAAAAATCTCTGGATTGACCAACACTGGGCACAGGGCCACTGCGAGGTGCAGGGACTGTGAGGTATGATAAGCGTTAGTTTGGACATGGTTTGTTGCAGGATAACGATGAGGACGAACTAGAACCGGATGAACTACCCGAATGGAAGCGACCGGAGCCAGCTGTTGATCTAACAAGCATCGATCCGAGCGATCCTGAAGGTCTAATGAAGCTGACGAAGAAAGGCAAAACTCTAATGATGTTCGTCTCTGTCTCAGGTAAGCGTAGGTTTGTAAGCATATAACCATTACTAGTTTTTGGCTTGGTTGTCGTGATGCATTTACAAGTGCATTGGTCTCCAATTGGTCAGGCCTCGATTGAATAGGTGGGACGCTTCAGCGACATGTGTTTAAAAAGTAATCTTTATTTACGTTATTATGTGTTCACCGCTTAATCGGGACGTTTGCCGACCTGTCCCGATAAAGCATGGACCAGGCCACCCTCGCCTCTCAGGGTACCGAGTAGGTAGGTAGGTGGAAAATCTGTTTTATTTTGTTTTGACAAGATGTGTGTATGTATATTGTATATTCTGTTTTGTGTATGTGTTTTTGCGGAACAAATTTAATATTTTTTTTTGGCGAATTGAAATAATTTTTGTTTTGCTTTAATCGCCCAATAAAATGTGTCGAGTAGCGGCGTTGTGGCGAGTCGGTCGGTAAAGGGGAAACAAGCAATATTTTATCTTAGGCCCCACTGTACCTTATTTGGTCTATAGATAAGAGGTATAACCTGCCCAGCCACACAGGGTATTAGCCAGGGATGAGTATTGTGGGAGTGCAGAAAAAATATTTGGGAGTGCAATTTTTAGCTCATCTGACATAGTCAGATGCAGCTTGTAGAATCGCATGATCGTCCGTCCGTCCGTCCGAGCGTCCGTCCGTCCGAGCGTCCGTCCGTCAACAGTTGGGCACAAATCTTAACCGCTCGACGTACGGTCACGATATTCGGGACGTGGGGGGGTATCGTCGAGTTGGGCTGTCGAAGCTGGGGGTCAAAGGTCAAAGGTCAAGGTGTGTCAATGGAGGGGGAATATATTCCCCCTTAACTTAAAGGACAATTGAAGTCAAATTTTCTAACTTCTGTAACGTTTTTATATATAGAAATACATTCAA